TAGCAAATCTATGATATAAATTTTTGGAATACAATAGAGCTAGATGATCGTCATCTACCTCCATGGGTTGAGAGTTTTCCCTCTGCGCCTTTAACGAAGATTTCACAACGCAAATAGAGTTGACGCTGGCCGAAGAAAGTTTATTCCGTTTCTTTGTTTTTATGTCAGGTAACATGGAAAACAATCTTTCTGCATCGGCATTGGAATTTGGAAGTGATCTAATTGTATTTACTAATTTCATCAATTCAGGAAATTTAATTTTATAGTCCAAATTTCGCGTTAATAAAATTGTTTTCCAGAAACCATCGAATTTCATCTCGATAAGCGTCTGTCTACCTTTCGTTGTAAATTCCAAAGGCAATACTGACCATTCTGTTTGCAGTCCTTCTTCGTCGAAACCGCCGAATTTCTTAGCGATTAAGAGAACATTTCTGAAGGAAATGTCTCTATTTGTATCATTTAATATAAAAGTGGGTTCAAAAACATACAAGTTGCTAAGAAATTCATTTGCAGCTGTAATATAAAACATTAAACAATTTTTCCTTACGGTTTCTACGATGTCGGACTTGCCTTCTGCATTCAGTTGATGCAGAAAATTAAGACACTCTGTTCCTAAATTTATACTATTAAATGGGAGTTGATTTTCGACTACAGAAAAATTCATCATTCTTACTAAATCCATGTGTTTCAAAAGCTGCGGTTTCAGAAAATTGCGTAATATATCGCATAAAAGTTCTGCCGCAGTCTTTTGAAGCAAATGAATTCTTGTCTCTTGAATTTGAAAGAAAATGCTAAATTTATAAAAAAACTCAAGAGCGTAATTTAGAAAATAAAGATATGCTTTGGCGTCTGGATTTTGCATCGAGATTAACAGACGTTCCCTGGACTCTGATTTCTCGCTTATTGTCAATTCTTGCAAAAAAAGCAATACAGAGTCCCAATTCTCTAAAAGTGTAACTACGGATGTATAATGCGATAACCATCGCGTAGAACACAATTTTAAAATTTTTCTGTCGGTTTTTTGAAAACATTGCTGAAATTCGCGGAATATAGCCGAACGTTTGGGACTACTGTATATGAAAGTTGCTACTTTTCGTAACAACTCCTCGCATATGTCTGGAATGGTATTGCACGCTTCGCGCACTACCATTGCAGACAGATGACACGGACAGCGGACAGTCAAAAATTTGTCCCTGCATTTTGTTGCAAGCTTTGTCATAAAGGACGAGTGTCGCCCTGTCATGACAGCAGCGTTGTCACATGACAACGCGACAATATTTTCGAACGGAATTTCTCTTTCTATCATGGCAATTTCAAATGTTTTAAATAAATGATCTGCGCCACAATTTCTGACATCAAGATGTAATAATTCTACCAATTCCGTTCGAACATCCAAAGTCTCGGGTGCAACATAACGAACAAGAAACGTCATCCATTTCTCGTTGGTCGAGTCGGATGTTTCGTCAATATAAATAAAAAATTTAGTGTTTTGTAAAACACTAGAAATACGTTTTGTTTCTAAAGGATACAAAACGTTTGATATAATATTTGAACACTTTGTTCGACCGAACGACATATGTTTCAAGACATCAGGATTTTGCCCAATGTCTTTGAAAACTTCAAGAATCGTCTCTAAGGTTCGATACGGAATATTTTTTTCGGCTATTAATTTGGCAAATTTGATTTCCGCGGATTTTATCCTTTCATCCAACGACAGAGGCGATTCTTCGGATTGTGTCGTAAAATTATTATTCAAATTGTCTGCGTTATCGTTACTCTTTTTATAATTCTCAATGTGACACTGAGAATCTGCATGATTATAAATCGTCGATAATCGACATGAAAATTGTTTGTTGCAAACCGAACAGAACCATGAATAAGGGTCGCCGTCGACTTTATGCAACCATGGCTTGAAATAATCATTTTCAAGCCATTGAGGCATAAAAGACCTTTTAGAAGTACTATATTTTTTATGACACCCAGATTCTCCGTGTCTATACACGTTTGAGGAACCGCAAGAATAAGACTTATTGCATAAAGTACAATAAAAACGACTTCTATCATGGGGTACTGCACGTATCCATGATTTAAATCTATGATCATTTATCCATGAAGATAAAAAACCGCGCTTACACTTATTCTTCGATTTCACAACCGTTTCCATGATATAAAAGCAGAAAAGCGAAAGAACAGAAAATTACAGAATACCTACGCGAAAGCTTTTTTTCAATTTAAATGTCTCAGAATGACCTACGGCACGTACGAAATAAAGTTCTATTGAATGAATAGCAGTATACAGGGTGTTCGGCCACCTCTAGCAAAAATTTTAATGAGCGATAGTAGAGGCCAAAATAAGACGAAAATCAAGAATACTAATTTGTTGATGGAGGCTTCGTTGCAAAGTTATTAACATTTAAAGTTCCGCCTGTAGAATGACAATCCGCTAAACAGCTGGTTCGCGCGGACGGTTGCGGCAGGCGAGTGCTAGTGGTTCTCACGCAGCATGAAAAATTCTGCTTACCGACATTATCGACAGCCTTAGATTTTTGTCCACTTATGGGAATGCGAACACCTTACGTTGAATAAGATTCAACCTGTCTTATGAAAATCCAGAAGGGCATATCAAAACTCGTCCGACGAGATTTTCACAGAGAAAGGGTGAATGCCAGTTCCAATACACAATGTTGTGAACAAAAATCACCCACATGCGATTATACACGCCCCACGATTGTCCACAGTGTCCACAAGTATCCACAAATAATCCTTTCAGGCACTAACCACTATGCAATTAAATAAACACGTACCGCGATTATGTTATTCGTGAATGTCTACGTGTACGTGTATCACGATTCTTCCGAGTTACTTACGAATAAAACTGTTATTAATTTTTCAAATACACTTCAATTTAAAAATGTAAAAAGGAATCGCAGGATAAATGAAATTTTCGCATCGATTTACGTTCACGGCGAAGAATGTAACAATACTAGCAGCTGACTGTGCCATCGATCGACGAGGTTCAGAGAAACATATGCCGAACAGGCCCCGATTCTACGTCACTCGCCTCGCTTATCTCTCTCACACACAGCGGAGACAAAGGGCAGCATCGGCACGTGTTCGGCCAGCTAGTCAGTCGTAAAACAGTATCAGTCAAGCTAGTTCAGCGACACATTTCAGTTATGTATTAAGTAGCATGTAAGAAATACAGTGATATAAACAATCAGCGAATACTTATTAAATTCCTGTTTACATTTTTAAATTGAAGTGTATTTGAAAAATTAATAACAGTTTTATTCGTAAGTAACTCGGAAGAATCGTGATACACGTACACGTAGACATTCACGAATAACATAATCGCGGTACGTGTTTATTTAATTGCATAGTGGTTAGTGCCTGAAAGGATTATTTGTGGATACTTGTGGACACTGTGGACAATCGTGGGGCGTGTATAATCGCATGTGGGTGATTTTTGTTCACAACATTGTGTATTGGAACTGGCATTCACCCTTTCTCTGTGAAAATCTCGTCGGGCGAGTTTTGATATGCCCTTCTGGATTTTCATAAGACAGGTTGAATCTTATTCAACGTAAGGTGTTCGCATTCCCATAAGTGGACAAAAATCTAAGGCTGTCGATAATGTCGGTAAGCAGAATTTTTCATGCTGCGTGAGAACCACTAGCACTCGCCTGCCGCAACCGTCCGCGCGAACCAGCTGTTTAGCGGATTGTCATTCTACAGGCGGAACTTTAAATGTTAATAACTTTGCAACGAAGCCTCCATCAACAAATTAGTATTCTTGATTTTCGTCTTATTTTGGCCTCTACTATCGCTCATTAAAATTTTTGCTAGAGGTGGCCGAACACCCTGTATAGACAACAATTTAATATATTTCATTTTGCAGAAATGAATTTAGAGGGGAATCAAAAAAAAAGGAAAGAAGAATATAGACGTTCTAATATATGGCATGTGATAATGTTACAAAGAAATAACAATTTTTTACATTTCCCTCCTGATGGAAGTGACCACCACCTTCCCGTGGTTTCCATTGAACGGTAGCGTGCACGTTATTGTTTTACCTATCGTTACAATTATTTTGTTATGTAAAGTTAAGTCAAATATATAACATTTGATTGTGTGTAACAATTTGATACGGTTATTAAAAAACATAGTGGGAAAAGTCAGTAGTAATCTATTTCTGTAGCGTGCACGGTACTGGCTAAGAGTGGTTTTTCATTTTAATTAACCAGTAATTAACCCTTTACGAGTAAGACTGCTTTGAACAACATTATTCTAAAATATTTGTGGAATACGTTTTTTATGTGGTTTAGGTAGGTATGCAAGGCATAAGATTTCGTTTAATTTTTCCTGTCTAGGAAAGATAGGAGAAAAGTATATTTGATCTTAATCCTACTTAAGATTTATATAAATCGCTTTAAAAATTTGTTACAAATGATGTATATGTATCGAAATAATTATAAAACTACAGACGTATAATCATCATTATATGGGAACTGATCACGCTTAAAATATAATGAGACCTTAAAACGAGAACATAAAACTTAAATGTTAAATTTCATTGAAATTCATTCAGCCGTTTAGACGCAATCATGTCAATAGCAAAGGAACAAAAAAAAATATCGTTTTTTTCAATAGTCACAATATGATCAGGGGGTCCCAAAACGTGTATTTCCGCTAAAAAAAAATTTCGAAATTTTTTTTCATTATGATACTTTATAAATTTCCTTATACCTTACATATAGGTCGGAAAGTAAAAATGCTGGGGCAGTCGAGACTTGGAATCGTATGCCGATTATCGCGAGGTCGTATTTCAGCTGTTTCTCTTTTACAAGAGCAAGAAGGAAAGGCTCACACTAGCGTTCTTTATCGATTTGCCGAAGTTGTGCGAAGTGCCGAGCTCACGTACACGTGGCTCGTGCGGTAGGGTATGCCTGCTATCCCCACCATTCCGTTAGACGCTAAGGAAGTTCGTCGTCACTGTTGTCGATTTCGATGCACTCAATTATGCCAGATCTGGCCACACTGTATGTACGTGTTGGAATTCAACTTTATATTTTTTGCGTGTAATATGGGACGTTGTAAATAATAAGAAAATACAAAAAGAAACCTATTTTTTTTCTTGCGAAATTCTGCATATATTTCAGAAATGTCCCGTCATCGAGACGTTCGATCTATGAATTATTCAGAAGGTACATACTACATGAGTATTTATATAAATTTAACTATTTAAAATGTCTGTAATTGTGTAACATCTGATTTTACCATTTTTTGTTATAATATACTGTTTTCAGAGTATGAAGGTTATGATGATGTCTATGGACATTCTGTGGAAGATGACTACTGTGTATCTCCTAGTGGTAGGTTTTATTTAATGTGCAATGTCCCAGAATTTGACAACCTGACTGTGTCAATATTTTGTATGAGTAAAGATAAAAAAAAAATATTTGGATATAGATGCATAAATACTTTACTAAATTGTAATAAAAATATGAAATGTGAAGAAGATTACACAGACCTATTTCTATTGTTGCTGGACACAGTATAAGAATAGAATGAAAAGAAATTTTTGTTACTAGTGCAAAATTGATTGAATTTTTGTTAAAAACTGAATTATTGACTATCTTGGGTAATTTTTTGTAAAGAAACTATTATACTTTTTGCAGTTAAAATTACAAAGTTTAATTGCACATATTTCCATGATATTTTACAATTTTTTAGAAGAAAAATGTTCAAAATTTATAACAATGCTCTCATACAGACTCGATTTAAAAAAAAAATACTCTAATGGTATCTGAGGTTGCACTCATTTTGTTTAGACATTTATTTAATTCAAATAATTAATGACATAAATCATACGTAAAATTATCCTTTATGTGACTGGTTAGAATGTAGGTAATTAGTAAGTTATAAATGGCTTATGTTGCATGGTAAACAAATAATTATTTCATTTTGAAAGAAAGCAGTCAATCTTAACAAAATAATGAGACATTTACAAATTTAATTCTATTAAAAATACAAAATAACTAATTAATTGGTGATGTTCAAAACTAATTTGCCTTGTGAAGACAAAAATCTCTGCTATGTACCCTTGTGTGGCTAATTGTAACATGCAAAATTTGATGGTAGTAAGCAGAAGTGTCAGGTCACCATTCTGTAATAAAATAAAACTTTTATCTTATTTTGACTTATGAAACATTTTTCCACTGGACTAAAAAATTTTAAGACAACCTACTTATGTACTACAACTTATGCAAGCAATATAACAATTTTATTTTTAGTGGAACAATTTTTATTTGATCGAAGTAAACAACAAAATATGGCATCTTTCATTACGGAGCCAGATATAGTGGAAGATAATGAGGATGTTGTAGAATCTACACCTAAAGAAGAAGAGACAATACTCACAGAATTAGAAAAAGCTAAACTTATATCATGTATGGAATCTATCAAGAACATTATAGGAGACACTGCACCTGACTTTGAGATAAAGAAGAGAATTATTCAATCAAATTTTAATGCAGAAGTAGCACTTGATTTACTTTTAAAAGAATCTTCTCCAAAAAATGTTACTGGTATATAAATTGTACAATTTTTATTATCTTCATAATTTAAATATTACATTATGTAATCATATTTTTAGAATCACCTGCAATCAGCAAGGATAATACAGAACATTATCCAGGTATATTATTCACTTGTATTATTCAAAAGTTTAAGATAAAACATAAAAATATGGAAGTATGTAGTAATAGGGTAAGTCAACTAAAATGTCAAGTTTTTCTTTTCTAAATTTTAAATTAAATGGTATACGAGGATTAATCATTTTGGGTGTAAAAGATATGAAGATTATGTATTCAAGGGATTAAGAGGATGCACCCCCATTTTTTTTTTAATGGCATAATATATTAATTTCATGTTATTTCAATAGCTGTTATCAATCCTAATAACATTTATTTGAAATATTTTTTTCTATTTTGTATAGTTAAGAATTATAGCGAAGAATAGTCTATATAAGAATTTTGTATTGTAATTAATTAATTACAATTATAATGATAATAATAATAGTGATATTTATTAATAAGAGAAAATACACGTTTACATTTAAATGTACAATACTTTGAGCATTTAATAAAATGATTTTCAATACAGAATACACTTCTGGTATTTTTCAATATTGATCACAAGCTACAGTATGTAAACTATTTTTCACTATAGTTTTTTAACTAGATAAAATGGAAAAAATATTTCAAGTAAATAATGTCGGGTTTTATAAGAGTTATTTAAATACAGTTTTGTTCCAAAATAAGCAACTCGCTCTCGGGACCGGTTAATTGCTTATTACGAATCAGGTATACTATTCAGGTTGACTTTGTTCTCGAATAGGATGAAAGAGAATACGCGGCGAAGAGAATATTAGCGGCAAACTATAAAGTGGTCGACCGAATAGCGGTATTATTTTTTGGAAAAGAATGGAATATGATATATTCTCTTATTCTGGCACAAAACTATATATATTCTATTCTTCTTCTAAACGATGTCACTGTTTATTCAATTGTAAAAATTTATGATTTCTGTAGTTCACGGACCTATCATTTGTTCTTGGATCTCCCACTCTGTGACCAACTTCAAATAAAGAAGAGAGAATAGCGACTGGCTTATTTCGAGTCAGAAAATAGTTGCTTATTACTGATTAAAACTATAATAAGAAATTAATATGCCATTCTATTTTTTATTTTTTTATGAGAGTTGCATCCCCTTAACCTTTTGAAGATGCAATCCTCATGTCATACATTCAAAATGATTAGCTCCTGTATTCCATTTAATTTTAAAAAAAGGGCACGCGATATCGGTAATAATTCAGAAGGAAAAAGCTTGTCACGTTTCAGATGACTCATCCTGTATATTTTATTTAATGACAAGTAATCATTTTTATAATATAATATTTTATATTTTAACCCTTAGACGACCACGCGATTTTTTTCGTAAAAAATGCAATAGAATCTAACAAATCCTAATAAAAAAAGTTATGTATTAAGAGTCTTTTTGGCAAATATTAATATTAATGTACATAATAGTTAGATGATTAATATCATATATATTTTATATTTTAAAAAATAATATTAAAAACACTTCAAAATAAAAAACAAAAACCATACATATCTACTTAGTTTATTCTCTGAAAATTCTTAACTTCACTTGTTTGAGTTGGCACTTAGTGTATTAGATACACAAAGCATCATGGAATCTTTAGCCAACTCCAGGTTTAAATATTATAATTGTATATACACTTAGAAACATGTAATCATGATATAGAATGAAAGAGTTTAAAGACGAGGATTGCTTAAAATGGCAATCTTCAATTCGATTAAGTCAATGAATATTAACAAAATAATAAAGCAAGGCCCCAAATAGTCTCTGCGCTGTCGTCTAAGAATTAATAATTGCTTATTTCTTGACCTATAATTTTTTCTATTTCATGTGCTGTCCATAAATCAATCGGTAAGGTAAGATGCTGCATCTATTAAATCTCAATCTAGTCCGTTTATTATACCTAAATTATCATTTAAGAAACAGAATAATATAAGCAAGACTTTGAATGCATTTGTAACAGAGAATTTAGAAAGTTTCAACAATTTTACTCTTACTAATCCTCCCGTTACAATTTTATCTTCAACTGAATTAATAAATAATCATACTAAATCAACATCATCAAAAATTTGGAATCATCAGGAATTTCAAACTAATTCCAATACATCACCATTCAAGTCTTTAGCAGATCTAACAGCGCACCATTTACAGCAATCCAGTAGCTTAATTAATACTAAAAATTCTAATGAAAGAACATTCACTTGGCCTAGTACAAATTTTGTGATACCAAAATTATCAATTAATAAGGATAGTTGTAATGATTTAAATAATATACAACTAAATATGTCTACTGTTCAAAAGAATATAAGTATAGTATCAGAGTTAGTAGATGATAAGAAGAAAGATTATTCTATGGATTCACTTGAAAAAAGTATATCTAACGTGCTTGCTTTTTCTGAAAATTATGCTAACAATAAAAATAACTTACGTAATTTAGAAACAAAAGAAGATTCATTACTGAATGTAAGTGGTACTCGAACTCCATCACCAGATGATTGGATGATTGATTTGAGTTCTGCTTTAAAAGAAGTTACACTATTAACTTCAGATAACTCTAATTATAATCAAAGTACAAAATCGAAAATACTAAAAAATATTGATATCATTCCTGATTCAAAGTTACATACTTTTAATCAAAATGTTGAAATTCCGTATGTTATTCTTCCTACAACATTAAATTTAAGTTCTTTGAAAAATATTAAGCTTCCATATGTGGAAAGAAATATATCTTTATTTGCCCGAACATTATGTAGAACATGGAAATCGAAAAAGCCAATTCTTAAATCTCAAGAAGAACGACATCAAGATATAAAACGATTTGATTTTTCAGTTCCATATAATCGTAATAAACAAAATCTCGTGTAATATGTAGATTAAATTAAGTAGAGTGTCCTCTACATAAAGAATTGTAATATTTAAATATAATTTTTATATATATAACTTTTAATTATACGTTTAACACAAGTCTATAAATACAAGAGAAAATTTGATTTATATTAGACATACAGTGCGTTCTCTACTTACAAGTCTAATTCGTTTCAGAACTTTATGCATAATTTCAACAGTGCGCAAGTTGTATTTTATAAATACAATGTACCTTTGGTATATGATTTTAATTGCAATATTTAATTAAAGTTCAATGATATATACGTATATTTTGATGAACAGCAAAATTAAAGAAACGAAAACTGTATTTAATATGTAAGAATTTACTATACATATAAGACGACGTTACATAATATTCAAAATTGAATATTTTGTTCATATAATTATATTTAATACTTACATTTAGTTATACTTTTCTCTTATATTTAGTATTAAATAAATTCATAATAATTTGCAAAAATTGTCAATACATTTTATGACAGGTAAAAAGTTGTTGTCCAAATCTACATTTCAAATTACACCTTCCAACGTGAAAATTATTCCTGCTGGAAAACGATCTGTAGTAAAGGGTTTCAATTTAAGTGGAATAGAGAATATTGATCAACTGAATTCTCGCGTTGAAAGTCCTCGTTCTCAAAGCCCATTTTCTGAGTATAACAGTCCAGAAATAAGGAGAAAAAAACATACTATATCAAAGGAAAAAAAAGTGATTTCTTCTAGTACAAACAGCCCACAATGTCAGTCACCCATATTAGAACATGTGATGCCTAATTTGGATTCTAAAGCAAAACTTAGTGAAGAAAAAATTGATGCTTTAAAAATATATAAAAGTAAAAGGGAAAATAGCAAAGAACAATTACATTTAGTGGTGGTTGGACATGTAGATGCAGGTAAAAGTACTTTACTGGGTCGACTTTTATGTGACTTAGGACAAGTTCCATCAAGATTGATTCACAAATATCAGCAAGAAAGTAAGAAGATAGGAAAACAGTCATTTGCATATGCATGGGTTCTTGATGAGACAGGAGAAGAACGGTGACTAGAACTTGTAATATAGTAAATTTAATTAATAAATCATTTTATACGTTTGAAGTTATTTCTTATATATTTTGCATAGAGAACGTGGGATAACAATGGATATTGGTCATTCAAAATTTGAAACAAAAACAAAGTCTATTACTATATTGGATGCACCTGGACATAAGGACTTTATACCCAACATGATTACTGGTGCTACTCAAGCAGATGTGGCTTTATTAGTAGTAGATGCTACAAGAGGAGAATTTGAAACTGGGTTTGACAGTGGAGGTCAAACTAGAGAACATGCATTGTTATTACGTTCATTAGGTATTGTAATTTATGGTACATAATATTTATTCTTCGCTCATTTATGTGATTAAAAATGATTTTTTAGGCATATCACAGTTGGCAGTGGTAGTAAATAAATTAGATACAGTGGAATGGTCAGAGGATAGGTTTAATGAAATAATTGACAAATTGAGTGTATTCTTGAAACAAGCTGGATTCAAAGATAATGTTACTTTTGTTCCTTGTAGCGGTCTATCTGGCGAAAATATAGTAACAAAATCTAAAGGATCTTTATCTAATTGGTATAATTGTCACTGTGAAAGTTTAATGTATTAAATAATTCTAATAAGTTACTTTATCAATTTCTTTTAATAACAGGTATATGGGACCTACATTAGTCAATGTCATTGATAATTTTAAGTGTCCTGATCGACCTATAAATAAACCATTCCGGTTTTCGATTAATGATATATTTAAAGGTTCTGGATCTGGATTCTGTGTTTTTGGGCATATAGAAACAGGGATGGTGTCTCTAGGTGATAAACTTTTAGTACTACCAAGAAATGAAATTGCAATACTTAAAGGTATGTTAATCTAATATGTACTCAAAGACTTTATTCTTTACAGAGTGGATTAAAAACTTTGTAGCCTAATGTAAAAGCAGTATTAGATGTACAATTATCTTTTGCGAGGTTAGGTAAACTGTCTGTTAGCGTCAATTCCTTTTTCAAGGGGTGACACGTGTCAGGGTCAATGCATTTGGGGCTTTGACCTGATTCTCAAGAGTATCGTAGGCGTCGATATCGGAACCATAAGTCTGTCATCAGACTTGGACCCGACGTATGTTTTGTTTATGGGTTTGCGATAGAGAGCCCGATCGCTGCTCATCAAAGGTGTCGTGTGCGTGGCCGATGACCCAAAGTCATGGTGCTGTACGGCACGTGGAAAACGATAAGGGTTTCTTAGAAGGATCTAGTCATATAGTGGGAAAGGCTTTGCCTTTTGGTAAAAAGACTGTGATGAACCCCACGGCACTTACCCCAGAACCTTGGTGACACGCGAATCGCTTAGAGATTTTTCGAACATGTCAGTCTTTTCAAAATTTTTCGTTAATATTATAATTATCGATTTCTCTGGAATTTTTTAAAAATGTTTCAAGAATGTATCAAATTAAAGGCCATGCAATAATATACAAATTTTTATAAAAAAGTTGCAAATACCAAGGCAAATTCAAAAAGCTGTGGCAAACATTAAAGGAGTATCTTATGCTTCATTTATAATGATTAAAAGGTAAACAGTTGAATTTAAATGTGAGAGAGACAACATTGAAAATGACCTATGCAGTGGAAAACTTACTGTGACTATCATTATTCAAAAAACCATTGATTTCATTTACAATGCGGTCATGGCAGATTTACAAATCGGGGTTCAAAATGTTTTATTTAAAGTTAGAAAAGTCCAAAATTTATGTAAGATTTTAAACAGTTGGTCAATAATATATTTGTTTTCTTAATCACTATGAAAAAATTTGATTCTACCAGAGAAATGAGAATTCACCACTATTAGCTTGTGTTAAAGTAGCAATTGAAACATTGAAAACTGAAATTATCCCTAAAAGAAGTAATGATCATACCACTGCGGACAAAGCTTCTGTTTTTTGTAACTCGAAGATGCCACTGATAATAGATATTCTTCTTAAAGGTCAAAACATAACAGAACAATACTATGCTAACTCGTTTAGTAGATTCAACAAGTCAATCTGTGTGACGATTATTATAGCTCCAGGAATCTTCTATTTATTTCTGAAGCTTAAAAATCATCTGAGAAGTGGATAATGATTTTTGTAAGCAATCAACGAGCAACGTAAAGACATCGATTTCGATTAAAGAAGTTGTAGTGGTGGTAATAAAGTATTTTGTAGAGTAGGATAAGAAGTTTTAAACCAGGATCATGGTATTAAAATATCGATGGACCAAGTGTAAAGATTTGAAAGGGGAATTATATTGAAAAATAATAAACTCTTAACACACTCCTTTTGTGTTAGGCCACTAAGTTTTCCATTATTACTTGTAATTTGTTAGAATATTTACGTAAGAATTATAAAATCGTATTTCAGGTTTACAAGTGGATGAAGTATCTATAACAAACGCATTTGCTGGGGATCGTGTTGCTTTAACATTGTCAGGAATCGACCAACAAAATGTTGGAATTGGAGACATTATTTGCAACCCACAATACCCAGTTCCTGTAACTACGTGTTTCCAAGCACATGTAGTCATTTTTGCAGTTAAAATGCCAATCGTAAAAGGTCTTCCAGTAATAATGCATCAGCAATCTTTAGTACAACCTGCTGTGATTTCAAAATTAATTGTTCAGCTTCACAGAACGACTGGTGAAATAGTAAAAAAGAAACCACGCTGTTTACCAAAAAATTCGAGTGCTATTATCGAGATTGTAACACAAAATCCAGTCTGTATGGAATTGTACAAATATATCAAACAATTAGGACGAGTTATGTTACGCGTAGAAGGAATAACCGTTGCTGCTGGACTTATTACAAAGATTAAGTAACAGTGTAATAATTATTATTTTACTTATTTAGAGTCGTAACTATAGATAAAAATTTTACTATTCATGTAGAACTGTGCATATATTACAGCTATTATATCTACAAATTGATAAAACTATAAAGAAATTAATAAAAGTTTCATATGGAGTTAAACCAACATGTATGTACATATATATAAGTTTATTTGCTACAAAACGTTCACTTTTTTCTTAATGTATAATGTGTAATATATTTTTAATGACTTTTAATGTAAAATTAAATTAATACGTTTAATAAAATTATGATTTACTTATTTATTGTAATGATTTTATTCGATGTAATCATGTAAAAACATTACATAACAATACAGAATAATTATAATATACATATAAAAATATAATTAACCCTCGGACATCGGATGCTCTAGCAACGACGAGGTTCGAGGTTCGAATGCCAAGTCACTTTGATCCATAGTGAAAGTTTAAATATATTTGTACATTTTAAGGGAACGTTTCTAACTAATTTTTTTATTATTTTGATAGCATTATTTTCTTACTTTGTAACATTTTATCGAACAGTAATAACAATATATATATAATATGCATATTACATACGATCTTTATTATGCTTCCGCACCTGCATACACGTAATATTGCTTTTCACTGTATGGGTTTTAACAAATTATTCTTTTGACATATTTTACATATTGTATTATACTTGCTATCACACAATTATAAATTATATAAATTTGTTATTGTGTACTTGTTTCAATTTATTTGTCTGCCTTTAATTCAATCTAGTGTTTTTAAAATTATCTTTCTTTTTGACTGTAATGAATTGTTCGTTTTCTCAACTGTAAAAATTTTCAATAAATCTTCTGCTGGAATTATGTCAATAACAAAGTAATCAGTAATTTTATGATTAGATCCTTTTTAAAAAATACTCGTCTGTTTCAGCATACGGTATCCATGAATTTTCTCTACAATAATTTCAGTTTTTTCAAGATCTACTTCAAAAGTATACCAATAATACACTGGCGTGCAAAATTTAGGGAATACTACATTTTCATCGAAAAATTGCTGATATTTAAAGTGTGATAATTTCATAACAAAATATCATACATTATTCTGAAGTCGTTTTAAAGCTTGGAGCCTCTATTTTTAGAATTCTTCAGCAGTTTTCTCCAGAGTCATTTTTGCGTTACGTGGGAGGGTGTTTTTTTTTCAAAAATTGTTCAATTTCAAATGACTAAACAGACATCGAAAAATTTTTTTAAGCGCTACAATCATTAGGAATTTGAAGATTAAAGCCTCCCATTTATAACGACCCCTCAGGAGTTAATGTACGATTTCTTTTCGCTTTGAATGAGAAATGTGCCACCGGCATTAGAATAACCCAAAGTACACGTGCATCAATTACCCGATTTTGAACGTTTAGCCACTATTAAATCACACACACCACATGCACATGAGGTACAAGTCCGTCCGTGCAACCTCCACGTGGTGAACCTTGAGTTATTTTAATACCGGCGGCACATTTCTCATTCGAAGTACAATAACACGGTGAAAAAAATCGTACATTAACTTTTGAGTGGTCGTTATAAAGGGGAGGCTTCAGTCCTCAAATCCGTGATGATTGTAGTGTTTAAAAAAAATTTTCAATGTTTGTAGTCGTTTGTAATCGAACAATTTTTGAAAAAAAAAAAAAAAAAAACCCCCTCGCTTCTCCATCTCCCTACATAACGCAGAAATGACCCTGGAGAAAACTGCTGAAGGATTCTGAAAATAGAAGCTCCAAGTTTTAAAACGACTTCAGAATGATTGTTGTATAATGTTTTGTTACGAAATTATCATACTTTAAATGTCAGCAATTTTTCGATGAAAATTTAGTGTTCCGTATGTTTATATCGTATTTGTTCTCTAAACATTTTTTCTTCTCCTCATATTATATCCAATACTAGATACATTGGTCTATCACAATAACGTTACTTCGTTATTTCTTGTTATAACGATAAAGTAACAGTCGACTGTTGACAAATAACCAATGGACGGTGTTAAAATGACCCAATATTTAACGTGAGAGGGTTAATAAATGTGAATATCTTGATGTAGATTAGTTGTATTTTATATTTTATGTTAACCAGCACAGCTCCTACATCCACCAAATGGAATGTCTACAGTATTTCCTATGTTAGGTCTTCCTAATCTACGTGTTGGTGGACGTGGTGGCCTATATGTAAATATGAATTATTAATACATTTTTATTCAAAGTGTACAATTTTTTATTTCTAATGGCACAAAAAACTGTTTAAGATATAATCTAAATTCTTTTGAATGTGAAACACAATACGATACAAATTTCATTTCCAAGGCTCACTTTTTTAAATTTTCATTGCTACAGATATTTTTTATAGTAAAATTTTTTTTTTAGCATTTTGTAGCAAATACTAAAATAAACTCCATCACAGCTGAATTCTGATTTTGAATGATTTTACTATAACACAATGTCAGAATAATATGTAATTCTGTTTTAATAAATGCCCAAAATGGTGTCCCTCGATAAAGCTGGATTGTTTGAAACAATATATTTAAAATTGTGATTCATGTAATATGAAGTAGTGTTCTAAGAAAAATAGTAATTAACAATTAAAAAAATAAAATGAAATAAACAAACACAGATAGAATACATTTGAGAATTAATTATGGATTTTAAAAATAAAACAATCACAAAAGAATTTTGGTGTTTTATACATATATTGTGAGATCAAGTGTTATTTGGCTAAACATTTTTAAGAAGCATTGGTGTAAAACAACAGAATATGGATTACGATGCTTTCTCAAATTATTTCTGACATAATGACATTGTAATAGTTCCTATTATTCAATCTGTTTTGGTTTCTGGAGTGGTATGTTACTACTTGTATATAACTGTTTAACTTTTACTATGGAAAAAAATCTAAAAACTTAATCGCTTTAAATTTTCAAATATAGCACAATACATTTTAACCGTTTGAATGCTAAGCAGTGTAGTCAGAATAACACTAACTTGAAACAAGATTTATCACATGTAAACAAAAAACAGCACAATCGTGCTCCATGCTACTTTTAAACACGGAATGAGTCAAGTGCTATCACACCGCTTGACAATTTTCAATTGGGAAATTATTACAAAAATTATTACAAAAAAATATTGATAACCTTAGAAACAAAATATTGATTAATATTTCTTCATTAAAACTAATCAAATTATATTTTACAGTTTTTTGTGTCATGAAATATTAATAAACACATTACTTGAACCCAGGTCTGTAATCTCTTGCATAATCACTTCCATATTTGTTCATGTCGGGATTGATCATGGTCATAAAACTGTATTAAATAAATTTATTTGATGAAACTCACATAAAAAAGAAATAAATGTAAGAATTAACATACATTTGCTACTTACAACATAATAATCATGTAAATTATTCCAATGAAAATATTGTATAGTCTTTTCAAACTCCACGGTGCACTCTCCAAAACATTTCCATCTAAAAGAGTTTTAAAAGAAATTATATATAATGAATAGTACAATAATCTTTCGGAACACACTATTACAAATATACTATGGTTGAGTACCATTCGATATATAAACCATGGTTCACAAATTTCTCACAAAAAAACTATTTTAATGAAATTTTTGACTAAACAATCAAAACATTTAGTATAATTACGCTTAAATAAATAATGTTTTATTATGTAAATGTTTATACACTTTTTTTATAGCTTAACCAGGCATACGTTACATGTGTACCACGGCCAGAGATGCCAGAACAGAGATGCCAGAAAAGCACCGCCGGGTGCACACGCACACATGCCAGATACGCGTACGTGAGCTCGTGGAGTTTCGGAAAGTCGACAAAGGCAAACTGACGCATGCCCTCTTTCTCGATTCTCCGAAGCTGTCCGAAGTAATTTCGGATCGCCTCGTGGGAGTCGAGAAAGAAAGGCTCACATTTGCCTTCTCGCTCTAAACAACTGAAATCCGACCTCCCGTCAACGGCATACGATTTGGATTCTCGAGCCGAGATTCTCGACTGCCCAGGCATTTTTACTTTCCGACCTATGTAGGCGCACATAAGCAAAGTACCCATAATGAAAAAAAAATTTTGTAAAATTTAGTTTACGGAAATACACGTTTTAAGACCTCCTGATCATATTTTAATTATTGAAAAAAAAGAAATTTTTTTTTATTCCCATGTATGAGCACACATGTATATTATTAATACGATTTTTGAAAATCAAAATACTTTAAGATTGAAAATTGATAAATTAAAATGAGATTGGCAATCGATGACGAATTTCTTAGCATGTTGTATGTTTTTGAACCAACTTTTATATTAAATGATACAAATAGAGACATTTCCTTCAGAAATGTTCTCTTAATCGCTAAGAAATTCGGCGGTTTCGACGAAGAAGGACTGCAAACAGAATGGTCAGTATTGCCTTTGGAATTTACAACGAAAGGTAGACAGACGCTTATCGAGATGAAATTCGATGGTTTCTGGAAAACAATTTTATTAACGCGAAATTTGGACTATAAAATTAAATTTCCTGAATTGATGAAATTAGTAAATACAATTAGATCACTTCCAAATTCCAATGCCGATGCAGAAAGATTGTTTTCCATGTTACCTGACATAAAAACAAAGAAACGGAATAAACTTTCTTCGGCCAGCGTCAACTCTATTTGCGTTGTGAAATCTTCGTTAAAGGCGCAGAGGGAAAACTCTCAACCCATGGAGGTAGATGACGATCATCTAGCTCTATTGTATTCCAAAAATTTATATCATAGATTTGCTAAGAAGCAAAAGTGTAATTTAAGATTAAACGCAACATATGACAATAACTTTGAGAATTTTCCCGCTACGTCATATGAGGAAAATTAAGGTACCGATTTACTACAGAGCTTTTCTCTAGAGAGATTTTTCTCTCCAGAGAAAAGCTCTATAGTAAATTCGTACTATTAGGCTGCAATGACAGTATAAACGTTTTCATGCGACGTAGGCGCAACAAGGTGTGATGCATGTACCATAACGTCACGCGAAAGCGCTTACACTGCAACCGCAGTCTTGTTAGTGATGTCCAAAATATTTTTTTTGGACATCGCTAATATGTAAATGGTCGTTCAATTTGTCTCGTGTTGTTACTTTTTTTACGTATTTCGCTTGCTGTAAATACTATTCTGCTTGCTCTAACTATCATTTTTTTTCTTCATTTATTTGCTTATATTTTGCCGTATATTTTTAGTTAGTGAAATTGCTTGCTGTAGATAGTGTGGCTATGACGTAGAATGTCGCGCCTTGTTACACTTACGTCACGGTACCGTAAGAGCAACAATGCACGACATAACGTGCCAGCTTAATCGCAAACGTCCTATCCCGACATCCCATCCTTTGGAAATGTAAACAATTATATCATTTTTCCATTTTTATGGCTCGTGTGTATATTAATAAAAATTAATGCATTCACGAGTTAGTTTTTCATTATATTGTAATTTCATTACATTAATAAAAACATTTTAATATACGGCATGTGATAATGTTACAAAGAAATAACAATTTTTTACATTTCCCTCCTGATGGAAGTGACCACCACCTTCCCGTGGTTTCCATTGAACGGTAGCGTGCACGTTATTGTTTTACCTATCGTTACAATTATTTTGTTATGTAAAGTTAAGTCAAATATATAACATTTGATTGTGTGTAACAATTTAATACGGTTATTAAAAAACATAGTGGGAAAAGTCAGTAGTAATCTATTTCTGTAGAGTGCACGGTACTGGCTAAGAGTGGTTTTTCATTTTAATTAACCCTTAATTAACCCTTTACGAGTAAGACTGCTTTGAACAACATTATTCTAAAATATTTGTGGAATACGTTTTTTATGTGGTTTAGGTAGGTATGCAAGGCATAAGATTTCGTTTAATTTTTCCTGTCTAGGAAAGATAGGAGAAAAGTATATTTGATCTTAATCCTTCTTAAGATTTATATAAATCGCTTTAAAAATTTGTTACAAATGATGTATATGTATCGAAATAATTATAAAACTACAGACGTATAATCATCATTATATGGGAACTGATCACGCTTAAAATATGATGAGACCTTAAAACGAGAACATAAAACTTAAATGTTAAGTTTCATTGAAATTCATTCAGCCGTTTAGACGCAATCATGTCAATAGCATAGGAACAAAAAAAAATATATTTTTTTGTAGTAGTCACAATATGATGAGGGGGTCCTGAAACGTGTATTTCCGCTAAAAAAAATTTCGAAATTTTTTTTCCATTATGATACTTTATAAATTTCCTTATACCTTACATAGGTCGGAAAGTAAAAATGCTGGAACAGTCGAGGCTTGGAATCGTATGCCACTTATCGCGAGGTCGTATTTCAGTTATTTTGTCTTTTACAAGAGCAAGAAGGAAAGGCTTACACTAGCGTTCTTTATCGATTTACCGAAGTTGTGCGAAGTGCCGAACTCACGTACACGTGGCTCGTGCGGTAGGGTATGCCTGCTATCCCCACCATTCCGTTAGACGCTAAGGAAGCTCGTCGTCACTGTTGTCGATTTCGAAGCACTTGTTACGTTATCACGTGAACGTAGGTTTAATGCACATAGCGCCACAACGGGAATTAATTGTAACCCGATTATTCACCGTCGAGTGCAGAGTCATGTAACTGCGTTTTAGTTAAGAAACGGACCAGCGTATTGTAATAAACAATACGATTGTATATTTTTCAACGTGGGCAATCAAGCTGGGGAAGGTAGAGAGAAAGGAAGGCTCTTCTTTTCAGATACTTAGTTTATTTTCTAAAGGCCGCGTCGATTTCGAGGTTCCATCGTTCCTTTAGTTTATTGTTTAGTTATTACGGACCGTGACCGATTAGCTATTTCCGATAAGAGTTTCAATGGTCTTGACACACAGCAGGGCCTCGCGACACTTCGCTTCGAGTTTCGGTTACTTTCACAAGGGTCATAAATTTTCTTAAGGGTTGTTTAGTCCGCGTAACCTCCACCTCCACTCGGCTCGGGGGTGGATCATCGATCGATGACGATCCGGACGGATGGGGCAAGGCACGAACCCCGATTGGACCAGGACAATCCAGAGGGAGGATCAAGGAATATTCCGGAGAAGGGATGAACACCGAGGACGACGAGAAGATTTCCGCGGAGGAGCAGATCGATTTTGAGAGTCAACAGAATTGTATCTAAAATCAAGCTTAAGACGAATAAACTTTTACCAATCTTTTTCGAGCAATCAATAGTAGTTTGATTTTTGCGCGCCTCGCCGAGCAGAGCGTTTCAGCGCTCCACGGGCACCAACCCACCGTCCTTTCTCCCTAAACCGCTATCTCGGGACGTAACATATTTTGGTGACAGCGGTGGGATAGTTTAAAATAAATATATAGACAGTTTAAATAGATAAGACAAACTTTGCCGGCTCGCGAGTGCACGCTTCAATAGACTTAATCGTGACGAACTATTTTATTGAACTTTTACAATATAAAGTGGACATTAGAATCAGTGCATCCGCTCTCCCTTGGGTTTTCGCACGGTTTCCCTAAGGGCACGGGTAAATACCGGAGACGGGTGATTTCGGCGGCCGTGCAAGCCACCACCGTTATCACATGCACCCTGTTCACCATCACGGTTGAACTTTCGCCTTAATTCAACACGGAGAGACGATCGCCACTGAACGAGGTTCCTGAAGGGCAGAGAATCGAGCATCACCGCCGATCGGAACATCTGAAGGACATCACGGACCAGTCCATCGCCGATTCCGAACATCTTCCGGGACGCAGGCCGCCGACTCAGCAGATCGACGACGAGCGGAAAACCCCTGTTGCAGGAGAACTGGTGAATAAATTCTAGAGCGTTTCCGTCGTACTTTTAGTAAGTTTAGTAAACTAATAATAATCGCAGCGCAGACTAGTAGTTAAATTTAGTTGTACTGGTCTGATTTATTCGAACTAAGTAGATTAATCAATCGATAAAATGCCGCCGTTCTTAAACAAATACGTGAGTGCTAAGGGAAGCCGTAAACGTCTGCGTGGTGATAAGGGAGTATTCATGGAGGAATTACTGGAATCTTCCCGCGTAGAAACCCCTACTCCCGGAACTGTAGTATCGCGAGTAAATGAAACAGGTTTAGTTCCTGTACAGTCTTTAGTTCAAGGGTATAATTCGACGAACGGTCCCTCAAATATGATTAATAGCATGTTCGCGTCACCTCCTATGTCGTGCTCCTCCCAAACCCTGTCCATTGACCCTATCGTAACCCCGACTCGACCTTCCGAACCGATACCGTCGCCTGAAACTTCAAAATATCCGTCACGCATGCCATACGACTTGATTTCCAGCTTCATACCCCATTTCGACGGAAATTCAGCCCAAGTTGAACAATTCATTGCCCAGTGCAGGCTCGCGGACTCGTTGATTAGGGCCGAGGACAAAATGTATTTACTCGCGTTGATACAGAGCCGGATGCCATATCTAACCTACCGCGGCATCGTAGGCGACGACCCTCCCCGGACCGTAGAAGCACTAATTAATTTAATAAAATCCGCGTACCCCCGGACATTTAACCTTAACGACACGCGGAGCGAATTGTGGGACGTACAGCGACGCGATCACGAAACGATCGAGGAGTTTGGCTACAGGGTACATGGAATTTTAGATCGCGGAATTCAGGCTGCGCGCGAAGGTTTCAAACCGGAGGAATTCGTGGGGGTTAAGGCATTACTTACGAAAAACGCGGTACACAACTTTTTGAAGGGCCTGCGAAACGATATTATCGCGGGTATAATATCCAAAGATGATTTGCGGGATCTACGATCGGCTATTAAGGCAGCCTCCAGAATAGACGGGCTAACGAATTTTACGCGAACCTCAAAACTTACGAACACCCCCCGGGACCGGCCCAGAATATTTAGGACACAAGCAGACGAGCGAGGTTGTTTTCGTTGCGGGAAACCCGGGCATCCGATCGCAGCTTGTCGGCACGAGGCTGATAATCGATTTCACGGGCCTCGACCCTATGCACCGAAATGCCATCAATGCGGGAAGATAGGGCACACGGAAAGACAGTGCCGTCGGAACAGCTTCGATCATGTCCCTAAGGATACGCGTCCCCCGGTTCCCTTACTCTCCGCGAACCTAGGGGCTAACCCTTTAAACTCCAAGGGGACTCCGTCAACGGGCGCGATATTTCCATCTCCTTGACCCACAATCACTTCCACCGCGGCTCCGCTGAATTTCTGGTCGACACCGGCTCCCAACTTCACCTAATTAAACAGAAAGAATTAAAATCAGACCCACTGACTAATATTAAAGTAATTTATGCAAAAGGAGGAAAAGGAAGTAAACTAGTTTTGGAACATACCAAAAGGGACGCTGAAAAAAAATGTTGACTAAACTCTGATAAATATTTATAAAATATATCTTACCACGTGAAATTTGCGGTAACCGTCGATCGACGTCTTCCTCTGTTCGTACGGCCCCAGGGAAAAATGATAAGTTATCAACAGAATCGGACGATCATCCTCTATGAAGAGGCTCGAAACGAACGAGAGGCGCGATAGGAACGGAACCCGAAAGAAGAGATATACTCTGAAAAGTTGGTCGCCCCATGTCTCTCTCCGTTATATGTGTAGATTGATTGCGAAACCGCGCGTTTAGCCGATCATCCGGTCCACGAATGCCTTTCTTTCGAATTTATTTGTAGAATTTGCGAGAATAGTAGACTATCAAGAATTAACGAAAATCGGATCGGGTAGTTCTATTGTAAACGCAGTTCTTCAATTTTGAAAGGCGACGGTAGGACGTTAAGATATCAGCCGGTTACGCCTAGCGAGCGTTTCGCATCGAACAAATGAAAAGAGAGAGGCACTTTGGCGAGGTGCTAAAACCCTATCATTGATATCTTTTCCTCCGAGGAAACAAAACGCCGGACTGGCTCTTCAATCAGAAAAATGTCGTTCCTGCAAAAGAAAAGTGCATATTTAAGTCATAAGATTACTCGCGGAGGAATGAAACCTGATATTGTCTGATTTGCCTGACGTAATTCCGTCGTCGCCGACATAAATTCCAGTCTTCAACTGCAACTTGTACGATCTTGCGCGGACTCCAATTCTAATCCGAGGTGTCTAGGAAGGGTGCACGTCTGCGCAGACAAACCACCAATCATAGATTCCGAAGTGGACAGGACGGATGAAGCGTTATCCGCGGAAAACGATAGATTCATAGCCTCTGTGTTCCTAGCGCGCAGGAAAACAGCGAGCAAATTAAGCGAGGTCACCAACAACGTATTAAAGACTTTTGATTCGGGAAAATCATGCTCAGTAATGAATTTCACGCGAGAACTTCCTGAAGGAACACCCCAATCGAGTACCCCAGAGTCTCCTCAACTCGGTCTTTCGTTGGCTAACGGGTGTATAGTCCGAACCCCAGGAACCCGCTTCGGAGGCCGTGAGAGGGAATCTGTACTCGATGTGCAACCTGTATCGTCTCAAGGGAGAGGGGCGCCCTGTATGCCTGGGTATCCCATCCGGGTAGGAGACCCGGATGGATGTTTGCAACTCGGTCAGGTGGACCGAGGTTTGCGTGTATCCCGGCGGGAGAGGCCGGAAGGGAATGAATGTGAGTATCCCATCCGGACAGGAGAACCGGATGGAAGTTCGCAACTCGGTCAGGTGGACCGAGGTTTGCGTATATCCTGGCCAGTGAGGCCAGATGAAAGGGTGAATGGAGATGATCAGGACTGCACAGGGAAATCCAGTGGTGTGACCTCGGTAGTAAATTCGGTAGACCCCATAGGAAATCTTTTAAATGCACAATATGCTAATGACAAAAACAGAATCAATGTTGGGAAAAGGATTTTGATTACAAATACAGATATAAAACGAACCAACACCTTCTCCTACCGCTCCTACTATATTCTATCTAAAAGACCACCTCTTTACACGACGAGATAACCTCACAAAATATTCAGATGCAATCCCACTACGCAGCATAGATACAGTAACTGTTGCTCATGCCCCTGCCGAACAATTTATTAGTAGATCTGGATGTCCAAGGGCTATTCACACCGACCAAGGCAGGAATTTTATTAGTCAAGTCATGAAAAATTTCTATAAAATTTTAAAAATTCAAAGAATAACTTCTACCGCTTTCCACCCACAATCTTTGGGCTCCCTCGAAAGAGCTCACCGCGTTTTCATCAATTACCTAAAACACTATTGCACTAAAACCGATTGGGACGATTGGATAAGATTTTGCATTTTCTCATATAACACTTCTGTGCATGAGGCCACGGGTTTTACGCCCCATGAATTAATTTTTGGCGAAAAGGCCAATATACCTTCAACATTCTCCACGAGCTTAGCACCTAGAACCTTTGCACAACACCTTGATGAACTCTTTGAAAAAATCACCACCACTCAGACGACTGCGGCACAGAATCTAGAAAAGGCGAAACAGAAAAGTAAGAATTATTATGATCGAACTTTAAGGCCATGTAAATTTAATTTAAACGATATAGTATACCTGCTTAAGGAGCCCAAAACCTCCAAATTCGACTGTAATTGGCTAGGTCCCTACAAAATAAATCGATTATTCAGCGATTTAACGGCAGAATTAGCGCTAGGAAAAAATAGATTTAAGATAGTACACACTAATAAACTTAAACTGGCACATATAAGACCGAACTCTCCTTCCGAAGAAGACTAAATAAATTAACGTGTAATACTCAATGTAAAGGTTACTCAATGTAATATTCTGCGAATTCAGGACTGCGCTCTAACTATGTTCTCCGTATATAATTTATATCACACTTACCCCTAACCTTATGTACCTCTGCTTGTAGTTGTCAATGATGTATAGTTATTGCGAATCACCTCACTGACTATTATTAACCTTATGTTTCGATAAGCGTCTGTACCGGAAAATATTAACTATTTTTCCTGCGAGTAGTAAGTAATTTCGAACACATGGAGGCATGATAAGCATGAGAATATTGTACGCGTAAATATTGTAACGGACACCGACCTACCACAGGATAATAATAATGAATATCGGCGTTTACCTAAAAGCTGTTTTATCAAAACACCTTTTTGTATAAGAAGGGAGGTGTTACGTTATCACGTGAACGTAGGTTTAATGCACATAGCGCCACAACGGGAATTAATTGTAACCCGATTATTCACCGTCGAGTGCAGAGTCATGTAACTGCGTTTTAGTTAAG